GTGAGTGAATAAGAAAATATTTTATTTTAACAAAATATTTTTTTAATGAATTAATTGTATATACTGTAAATATTTTTTTAATGAATTAACTGTAAGAGTGTATAATGGAATCCAAAGAAAAAGCTATATATAAATATAAGTTACATCGCGATGTAGAATTTAATAAATTCGATGTAAGGTTTAATAAATCTTGATACATTATTTTTTAAATAAATTATTTATTATTTTTAACGTTTTCCTTTTTTTTGTTCTGATTTTTTTAATTTTGAAAATTTTTTTTAATTTACAACTATTAATTTTATTCTAAATAATAATCAATCAATCTGCAATGCGATAATGATAACTTTTTAACTATTACATTTTGAGAAAAAAAAAATGATTTTCTACATAAATTTTTTCTTTTTTTTACTGATTTCTATACTTTCGAAAATTGTTTATTATAATATTCTGTAATATTGTGGATACAAACTTGAATATAATATATCTACAATTAAATGACTATCAGTTTTGAATATAATTTGTATGTTGAAACTTACGTGCGGTTGAACGGATAATAATTGCACAATTTTAACGTATACTGTTTTTCACACGTTTCAATCATTATAATTATGATAATTTCATTAGCAATGTTTCTGTTTTTTGATGAATTACATGTTTTGCAAAAATTTATATGCAATTGATTAATATATTTTATGGTTGATTTTATTGGAGAAAGGAAAGAAGTTTCGTTAGTATTAACCACAATAAGTTCGAAACTTGTATAGAATTATTTGCGCAAGAACTTATTACAGTGACTTACGTAAATATATTTCAATTAAATATTTTCTAGAATTAAATTTGTAATATTAAAATAATTAGCATCAAAAATAATAAACAGAAATGAACAATATTTAAGTAATGTTAATTAAAAGACTGAAATTAAAAAAATTATAAACTAATAACAAATTAAAATTGTTTGAAATGAAAAAATTTTACTATTTTTATTGCAACTTAGTGCAATAATAACTTAAATAATTAATTTGCTGTTATTATTAATATATATTTTTGTATATCTTTTAAGCAGCTATACAAACCTGTAAGCGTGATGCAGATGACTATTCGTCTTGCTTAAGACTTGCGATACAAGAAGCATGGCCGAACTTTGTCCCAGGTATTAAAAATAAAGTACTGGTAATATTTCTCTTTGATTTATTCGAAATTGTTAAGTTTTTATTATATTTATTGTTATACAAATATGATATATATATATATGAACATATTATCAGATTTAATTATTGCTTAATAATTAAAACGTCAATATATAATACATATTAAAATACATATTTATATTATGTGATTATACTTTCCTTTTAATTAATTCTTGATAATTTATTCAGTATGCCATCTCAGTATATATACAACTGATATCATTTTTAATTATTAAAATAAACAATTAATTACGTAAATTATAATTTATTCTATATTTGTTGTTATAAATAAAATATGTAATTAAATTATCATTGCATTTATTAATACATTTTAATTGACTCAAATTCTACTTTCGCTTTCTCCATACAGAATTAATAACTAACAACAGATTTGTTATTATAATTTATATTAATATATTATATCCTTGCACAAGTTTTAATTTTTTCCGGAAGGTATCCCAAAACTCGATCTGCCAGTTTTGGATCCGTACTTTACCGATCACGAAAGAACTATATACGAAACTAACGACATGCGCGCGGACATAACAGTCACAAATGTTAACACCTATGGACTTGCAAAGGCTCAATTCTTGGCCGTGAGACCACAGCATTCCGATAATTACTTTAAATTAGAGTTTGATGTCGATTTGCCAAAAATACTCATCGAGGGAAATTATAAGGCGGATGGATCCTTAGGAACGTTCCAAATTGGTGGCGAAGGTATGCAAATTAATTACTTTTAATATTGACACTATTTTAAATATGTATATACAAAGTATCATAAAATTTATTTTAAAAATATTGAAAATACAAAAAAAAATATTATATGCATTTACTTTAAATATTGAAAGTAGCACAAACGCTCATTATTATTTAATTTTCCACTTTTATATTTCTTTATCATTTAATAATAGATTCAATAATAGAATTTTATGAATCATAGTAGAGTTAAATTGTTTATTTTATTTTTAAAAGCATGTATATCTTCTGATTTTGGCTATATATAATATATTTATCTATAATATATTTTTCAAATTTATTAATTTATATTTTATAAACAATGAATTAAGATATTTTTGTTAATTATTCTACGTAAAAGATGTATAATATAATAATAATGTATAATTTAATTTCTATTGCGGCAGGATTCTTTAACATTAGCATGGAAGACATTAAATGCACTTGGATAATGGAAGGATCCGTCGCTAACGATAGATGGACGCTCGAACATTTCCATTTAAATCCGGAAGTTGGAAAGATGCAGGTCTGGTTCAGTGATATGTTCAATGGTAACGAGGAACTCAGTAAGTAAACTATTTCTTCGACATATTGTTTACTTCAAATTATAGTACATATTGATTTTATACACTATTAATTATAGTACATATTGATTTCCTAAACACTTGTAGAACATTAGATACCTCTAAAAAACGTCTGTAAAACGTATATGATCCAATATGTGTTCCCTGAGTAGCTGAGAACGGATTTATATTTACCTAGTTTTCATATTTCCATGAATAGAAATCGATTTTTATTGATAAATTATGAGTTATATCAAAAAGGAGACACTAAAAGCAAAATATTGTTTTTTCTTATTGCTATAATTGCCTGTTTATCATTATCCCTAATTGTCTTGTTATATCACTTTGCCATTTGTTGATAATTGCTCGATGGGAAACTCTGATGCCGTAATCCGTTACATAACGATTACGAATTCAATTAATTTGCTTTTTTATACGTCGATATAATTCATGGTGTAATCGTCATACCCGTCATATAAGTCATTACGTATTTTCATTTTCAGACAATGCCGCTATGAAATTCGTAAATGAATATTGGCCGACCTTGTATCGTTCGATGCTACCATTCCTCGCGAAGAACTGGGACGAACATCTTACTGAGATCAGCAACCGCATATTCTCGAAAATATCTTTCTCGAAGACGTTCCCTTGAAGCCCTTGAAGATGTTTCTTCTTGCTAAGATATGTACATAGTGTAGTATGTATAATCGAAGTAGCGCTGAATTGAAGTCTTAAATATTTCACGGACTACTCAAAACCGGCGCAGAGGACACAAAATTCCTCTATCTGTGAACATCCCGAAGTGATAAGTTCGATTCTTTTCATCGTCCGTACTTTTGATAGTGTTATTTAGATTTGCACGGCGTCGACATGTGTGGGAATAATGCGTTTATAATAATAATTATGTAACGTATAAACATAGATTATTCTTAGCATTGTTATTATTATTGTGTTATTGCTATTTTCACTAGCGATTGTTTTTGTAAAGCACAGATATAATAAATATCAAGAATAATATGAAGAGTATCAAACATATAAATTTAATAACTTTTCCGATAATTATCAATTCTTTTGAAAGTTTTTTACAAATTATTATTAGTTTACTGTGTTCAATCAATTTATTATGCAAAACATAATAGGTAATAATTTAAATGTAAAATTATATAATGAATATAAACAAATTAAAATAATTCATTTTTATCATATATATTTATATGATAAAAGGTACATTTGTTTTACTCTATCAATATTTACCATTTAATTCCATTGTGCGCTAAAATTATAACCATTTAAAACTTAATATGATAACGATTTATATACTCTGTTTTATTACTATAAGCAACAATCACATTATCAACATATTTATTATCAACATATATTTTTTTCTAGGTCAATATCAACGAAAATTATTTATCTTTGAATGTATTTATCTTTGAATGTAATTGTATATTTTCTTTAAATTATTTGTTCAATCTCTGATTAAAGAATCACACAAATAATATTTTGTTTTCACAAATAAATGAACGAAGCAACTTAATACGCGTTTACGTATTGTTTTCCTCTTTTTTTAATTAAAAAAATATTTGATAAGATGTCTTTTTTACGCTATAACGCATTATTTAGTATTCGTGCATATTTAAAATATATCATTAATTTTTCAATAACAAGAAGCTAATAGTAATTAATATAATGTAAATAGTATTCTAAGGTATAAGAAATGATTCCACTGGTACATGTCGCAACAGCTGGTTAACAATACCAGCAAAGAGTGCCGATAACTTCTTTTTTAATTGCGGTTCCATTAATTTCAACACTTCTTGTCCATTTTCTCGAAGGAAAAGATTGATTGCCTCGGCTAAAAATTGAAAAATCATTTAATAATAAAAATGAATTGTTCGTAAAAATTAACGATTTTAACTATAATCATTTTTATATTATTAGATGTGTTATGTGATTTGCTTACTAAGTATTCGATTGTTGTTAAAAATCTTGCTGACTCGCATTTGCAAATTTTTCACTCCGAGCGCAACATCGAGATTATCAACATTTAAATACGTCTTGTTTTCTCGCAACTTTGTAGAGATTGTCCCTCTGACTAGTACTTTAGCATCTCCGAAACGCGCATGGAATGTACCGTTTCCACTTGCAGGCAAAATTATTAATACACCAGAACTATAAAAATTAAATTTGATGAAATAGAAATTCTATCGTTTAAATGTAAAAAAATATAATTATTAAATTATATATCTTTTACAATTTATTATATCGAACTACAATTTTTACAACTTATAAAATGAAATGGAATATTACATAGTTTTATAAATAAATATAAATTTTTTTATATATACGAGATCACATTAAAAAAGTACGTAGATATAGAATTTACCTGGAATAATGCGCATCTAATATAAGGGCCGGCATTCGAACAATGGCTTGGAAAGGTGAACCCAGCTTGATATCTTCCACAGTGTAGTTACTCGCTCCCCTTATAAAAAGGTCTCGAAGTTGAATTTTATAACCATTCGTACCACCTGTCAGAGAGAGAGTCAGTTCGTCCATCTATTGAAATAGACGGAATATATAAAATATATATGTAAATGAACATGTAAAATAGTAAATATAAAATGGCATAAATAATGAATCTTCCATTATATATTATTATACATCAATACATACAGTATATTAAATTTTTAACATAATTTTTAACATATTAAATTTTGAGTTTCAGTATATTAGACTTTAAACATGTAAGATTGGCGGATGCTTGTCAAAATATAAGAGCAACATGTTATAACACTTTTCACAATTTTTATTAATTATCACAATTATTAATTTTTTTTTAGTGTAACAAATTTTAAAACTTCTGAAATAAAACAAGTATGCATACATTTATTAATTTAATGTATACATTTATTATTAATAGAAACAAATAAATAAAAAGTGATTAAGAGATGAAAATGCACAAATACACATACGTAAGTATAGTTATTTTTCTTCTGTTACATTATAAGCATGAGACATTTTTTATTTGAAATGCTTCTTCTTAAAAGAAATCTATTGATATAAATCATAATTAAGTACAACTGACTTTAATATTGTTTATAATATATAACCAATTTAGGACACATTAAACTTACACGGAACGGTTCTACCGAGGGTAACTCAATTTCAGAGATTCCGACTTTCAGATAAGATCGCAGATGATGTAGAGCGTCGATCAGACAAGTTATCAGCTTTGGATCGCTTTTGGAACATTGTTTCACATATTCAGCTAAGAGTAGAATGTTATTATACATATATTGAATATATATTACTTTAAGGTATATTGTCATTTCAGTTATGCATATTGTATTGTTCCGAAAGTGTGATAATTATATTTTTTAAATTTTATTTCTTTTTTATGTTCTTAATATAGCAAGAGAAATTTGATGTTCTAGGTCGTATAAGTAAAAGCGTCAATGAGTAAAAAGCGTGTTAATCTCTAGTCGTGTTAAAAGTGAAAGTTCTATCTCATGACGAAAATGCCTTCAAGAATAAGTAGATTGGTACAGCTGCAAGAGGTTACATATGTTAAGAGTTCTTTTTCTGACGTTTTTTTTCTAATGCTTTGCAAAATCATGTCAGGAAATGATTAGTACGATGTATAATAAATACATTGCATAATTAGATCAACACATATACAGGTACACATAAATATTCAACAAATATCCATTAGAAACAATATGTTCTACCTATTTGAATCTGTATCTTTTTCGGGGTGCTGTATTCTATTCTTTATAACGTAAATATTTGACAATAGATAGAATTTTAAATAGATTAATTTTTAACAGATTACAGATTTATTGAATTTAAATAAAATGACAGAAGTTTTATGTCTATGCTTTACGTCTGAAAACATTGAAATATTTGATTACAACATAATATTTCTGCGGAAATGGAGATCCGATCTTTGCGAGTGCGGTACTGTTGCATGTTACATAGAAAATTACACGTAACTTGAGTTAGAAAATCTTTATTATTATGATTACAAAAAAGTATTTTAGTATATAAAACAATTTATGCTTTAGTATATAAAATTAATGCTCTTAAAATTTTTTTTAATCATAAATTGTCCTATTTTTCGAGTTTTTTTATAGATATGTTACGCCTATTTCGAAAAAAGTCTGATTATGTCAAGTAAAAATGGCATAATCGAATTTTTTAGCAATAATTAATTGCAAATTATTGTATGCCTTTATTATAATTAAACTATTAATTGTCTTGTTTATTCCAATACAAATATAATTATAACTGTATGAATATTCAGTGATGAAGATATTAAAGATGCTAACATTAAATTTACGGAAAATGTTTTGATTACTCACGGCTTGTATCGGAGAAGAGAGTTGCAGTACAGCCGACGACGAGGAGAAGGATGGCCCATAATTTCTTATTCATAATTTTTTAAGACAGTCGTGACAACGAAGACGAAAGTTTCACGAAAGATTATTGGGACTTATTTGTATTCACCGTTGCAACTTCAATCTTTTGTTGATGTTAAACACTAAGATCTTATTGCAATCAAAAATCACTAACTACGATGAATTCGACTGTGGACTCGAATCGCGGCACCGTTAGAATAAGACTGACTATGCAAGAGAGGGCATTGACAGACAGCAGATCGTAGCTGCACTCGCAAATACTTTCACTGCTGTAACATGTATGCATCTGCGCCTTCTTCGTCATCTGCAGACGAGTCCTGCAGGCCTATTCTGTAACTCTCAACGCAAATTTCGTTATCATTATAATGCTGCTACGCAGCTCTTTCGTCATGGTAAAAAAGCTGCGCAACAACGTTATAATGACAATGAAATTTACGTTAAAAGTTACAGAATAGGTCTGCTCAGATTATAGAGACAGCTGATGAAAGTGCCTTACCTAGAATGTATGTTGTCTATGTAGAAGATATGTCTTCTGCGTATAGATCATCGTACGTTATAATGAGAAATTTCCAATTTGATCATGACGAAAGTAAAGTAAATATTGTATCAAATCGATGTTAATAAATTAAGATAGATTTTTTAAATGAACATAGCGGTCGATCGCTCTTATCAAAGAAGGCAAGATTTTTCGCGACATAAAAAAAAAATGATTACTTTTCTCTTACATTGTAATTTTTCGAATGAATATTTTATTTTTTATAAGTAAATATATATTTTTTATAAGTAAATATATAGATAATGATTGGGTTTTTGATATAAAACAGTAAAACTGCAAAGATAAATCGTGAAGTAAGACGATCATCTTATATTCAATGTAAACATTAACGCAACGCTATAAGAACGTACTTTGTATGATGTAACGTCATTTGCATTCGACTACAATTAAGCTGTTGCATTATGCAATGAAATTTCGATAGATTGAACATGCATTTCATGATTTACGATCAATTATAGAATTAGTATACATTCAGAATTAGTATACCAATATTCTTTAATTAGACAGTACATATTGAAAAATTTTAATTTTTTATAATTCTTATCGAAAAAGCTTCTTAGCATTAAAATACACGATGCTAAGATAAAGATGACATTCCAAAGAGGTTAAATTAAAAAAAAAATTTTTTTGTTTTTTCATTTTTATTAATTTTTTCTGTTTGCCAGATTATCAAAAATTAATTCAAAAGTTAATTAATATAATAAAATTTTTAAGATTTAAAAAAAATCGAAATTCATTTATTAATATTAATATTAATGTATAGCCAGTTACTAAAAGAACAATACTTTTTAATTCGATGGTTTTCGGAACGCGCAAAAATTCTGACAGAGCAGACTACTCTCTGAACATCTATAATCAGCGATTATGATGGGTTATAATAATTCAAAGTGATGCAGAATCATCTTGTACACAATGAAAAAAATGTATTTGTGCACAGCGGAAAATTCTTAAGATGCTCTTCGGATATTATAAAATATATCGTGATAAGTAATAATAAAGTAAACGCTAAATTTTTATAAATTTATTTATATTTTAAAAATAACATGTTTATTATTATTAAAAATTCAAAATTTAAAAATAATAATATAACATAATATTATTATTTAACTCAATAATAATACACAAATTTTACACACAATAATAATACACAAATAATAATATACAAATTCGTTTTCGCAACAAATTCAACGATCGATCGCTTCTCCGTCGGGACGGAGCTTAATTCTAGCCAGCCTGTGATATCAAGGCAAATGGAAAAACTTTACTTACGCAATCCTTCACCTACGCATCTGCCGCCGATATCACGAGCTATCAGAAGCAATTTTCCTGCACTTCTAACGGAACAGGAGAATTGACTGAGTTCCATCTAAATTACGTATTAATATTATCATTTATTTTTTGGTATTGTATTTACTGACTTACTTTACTATACTTTATATTTTATAGTTATATTTTATAGT